CCGCCGCAGAGAAGCCACACCCATGACAACCCCACCACACTGCCAGCGACCAAGTGCACCCCCCCAGGGGGACTTATTCCTAATTTTATCTGACTTATTTAATTTAATTTTTATTGTTTTTATCGTCCTGCAGGCTCTGATGGAAAATAAGATTACGCTAAAGCAAAATGAGGGAAAATCTGTATCAGTTACAGACATTCTGTTCACGTGAGCAGCTGTCAGTCAGCACCTGTCATCATCCAGACGCACGACGGAGCGTGTCTGAATCAATCACTTTTGTTGDCATTGATCAGCTGACTGATTTAAATACATCTTAACATTCATGAGGTACTTTACATTGACTGTTTATGGTTGAGTGTGGGTGTGTAGAGGGTAGAACCTGAGGTGGGACCTCGTGCGCAAACTCTGACGTGAGGCTGTGATTTATAAATGAAAGATGCGCAGAAACATGCGTACGTACGGTTTTATAAATCTGAATTTTTTTTGGCGTACGCCATTTCCGCCTTTTGGCCGTACGTTCACTTTTAGTATGGTTTCCACGCAATCCTTTATAAATGAAACCCCTGGGCTGTAGATGAGTGTAAACTGCAGAGTCCTGGGCTGTAGATGAGTATAAACTGCAGAGACCTGGCCTGTAGATGTGGAGGTACTGCTAATAAGGCTGGGTGTAATTCCTCAGACTGAAGAAGTCTCTTGGAGAAGAGACAAAATGTTTTCAAGAACCCATCCAGAGGACCTATCCTATTGTTTTAGATGCTACAATTAAGCACAAATTATTAAATATTACAAACTACTTTCGCCTCCGATTTATGTAATATTTACACTGTAAAATAATATTATATATTAGACTATTTGTAGGCTTCCATAAGACAAACCTGCCCTGTTGAGAATATGATTAGCTCATATCAGTCGAGACAAGTTTCATCCTAAAGTATCATTGGGTATACAGTAGGGATGGGAATCTTTTACTCTTTCACGATTTGATTAGATTCTGATTCAGATTTTTGAGTCCACGACTGAATTCAAAATAGATTTTTCATTCAAAGCTGGTAATGTGATCCCATTTGTCRTGTTCCCAAAGTGCTTCATCTTCATTTTGCAAATCTCGCTCATGTCAAACTCAGACTCATTCAGTAAAAAAACAAAATGAGCCCAAATCTTTGCATTCAGTGAAGACAGGGCCAGTTGAATCTCTCTTTCCTCCAGTTTGGTAGTTTCCTCTTTGTTTTGGTGCTTTCTGCACATTCATGTTCCAGAAGCAGCTGCATGATGACGTCAGCACATCCCATGTAGTTACAACATGGAGGCTGACAGCCTTTAGATTTGCTTTATTTTTTTATTTATAAAAATCAATTTTGGGACATTTTAAATCGATTCTAAATCTTTGTAAATGGGAACCACGATTCTGATGTAAAACGATTTTTTGGTGCACCCCTAGTATTCAGTGAACATTTTTTAAGTGTCGACTACAAAACTGGTAAATATAGTTGAAGTGAGGTAAAGCTCTGAAGAAATGAGACATGACTGTCATACAAAACAGATTTGGGTCACCTTTTGTCTGCAGTGTGAWCACAGCTTTCCAGCTGCTGAGGTTACCTTGGCCTCGATGACGGCTTCGGTGCAGGCCTGCAGCATGGTGAGGTGGTGGGCGAACACCAGGAACTTCAGCTGCTCCGCCTCCAGCATCATCTTAATGTAGTCCTTCACAGCTCCCGCCTGACCACACACACACACACACACACACACACACACACAC